CCCCCTCCCAACTATCCTCCAGCTCCCCCCCTTCTTCCCACCTCCAATTTGCATCTCAGAAAGGGTAAGGACTCCCCTTCCCGAAACAGATGGAAGCAGATTCAGAAATCCACAACTAATCAATGGGCCCAGATCCTGGAGTACAATTAAAGTGAGGGAAGAGAGATAATATGAACAATGGAGTCCAGACCATAATGGGGTAATTTAGAAACTCGTGACCAGAGCCAGTGAGGTCAGGTCTGACTCAGGTCTGACAAATGGGAAACCTGCATGAGACCCAGCCCTCGGCGATTTTGCAACAATGTCTAACTGAGCAGGAAGGTGAACCACACTGAATGGAGTGGTAGGTACCATCTTCTAAGATGTACAGTTTTTCCACCTGCCACGGTCTTGTCCTGCAGCCGCGACAGCCCCAATCGGTCTTGTTCTGCCGCCGTGCCAGCCCCAAATAACACAATGATACTCTGTATTAGAGGTCTTGTCCCCACAGCTGCGCCAGCCCCAAATAACACACTGAGACTCTGTATTAGATATAATTCTGTTGGCCTGGTTACTTGTTTCTTATCGGCTAGCTCTGCCTTAATTATTAACCCATTTCTGCTGATCTATGTATTTCTCTTACCGGGGAGCCAGCATACTGCTTTCTCCCGACTCTCCATCTTGGCTCCTCCTTACTACTTCCTATTTCCTCCTTGTCTCCTAGTCCCTCCTATCTTCCTTTCCTATTGGCCAACATTGCTTTATTCATTAACCAGTATGAGAAGCATATGTACATAATGGCATCTCCCATCACCATCTGATGGACCACACGCCAGGAATGAGTTTAAGAGAAATCAAACAGCACCACATCATCTTTCTGCTTCCTGTTTGCTCTCCATGAGCAGGCCCCGCCCACTCTTTCCACCACTTCTTTCCCACAATTCCATGCCGCAGTGCATTTCAGGATCAGTGGCCACACAAACCCCTTTCCCTATTAAGTTGCTTCTGGTGAGGTTTCTGGTTTAAGGCCAAGAAAGAGCACTGGTTACTTATCTTTAGTGGTAGTAACCTTGCCTGGGGAGAGTGTGAGCCAGGCTCCCTTCCAGACACAAACCCCTTCTAGTGATCAATACTGCTAGGAGGGAAGGGAAGGGACTTGTCTCCAGAGGAGCTTGTATGACACTTGCTTACTTCGCTAGTGTACATTCTTGACATCATGAGCAGTGAGAGCTTGACATTCCCGCCAGAGGCCTGGGAGCCTGGTATGATGTGGGGGTGACTATTATGCCATGGGAGCATAGAGAAGGGCCAAGGAAAGAAATGTAGCACTTGGTCAAAGTGACTCTTTGAAAACGGCCTCACTTGGGGCCGTTGTTAACTTGTGATTCCCAGTTAACTAGTCTATTTGTAAAGTCTCTATTTCCATACACTGTGGAGGCTTTTCTCATTTTCAGGCTCACTGACCATCTGTTTAATTGTCCTACTTTTTTTTATTAGTTTAAACTGAATCTGGCTCTGATCTTTGAGTCTTTCCATCTAATGTTGATTCTTGATTTCCTATTTTTTTGAGTTGCATTGGTCGAGTATCATTTGGAAACTCTCTTCTTTTTAATGTACAAATGTAGTGCTATAAATTTTTTTAATTGGTTTAATTTGTCACTTTATCTCAATGGTAAAATGTCCCCTCTGTGTTAGTGACATCCTGTCACTGACAGATACAGTCAGACCTAACACCATAAGAGACAAAGAAATAAAACTTTTGGAATGAAAAAACAACACCCAATTCCCATCAATGAATGAGTCTCATCATGAGCCCTGATACCACCAGAAACCTATGGCAGAGACTTCTCAGGTGAGCTGATCTCACACTAATGTTTCCAACAATGTGCTTTTGTTTCTTTTCTTTGTCTCTACCATTTCTACCTATGTGTCTACCTATGGCAGTGGATTCACCTAGCCAGACACTCTCCACAGCAGACCTAAAGGCACAGGGGTTCTTATTTTTGTTTCCAGATGAGGTGATGGGGGGCTGATTTTGACTCCAAATGCAGCTTTGTCTTGCTCTTAAATACCACTTTTTTTCATTTTTAACTTGTGATTGCTTTAAATCTTGGGGTCAAGGTTTTGCTATGTTGCCCAGATTGTCCCAGAACTGTCTGAGTAGCCCAGGCTATGTAGACACCCAGCCTTAGTTAGCTCCTATTGGCTGACATTGCATGTTGTTACTCAAGCGTGTGCTAATGTTCTGTTGTGGTTGTTTATCTCATTTAAGTTATAACGAGTTTAATTCTTTTGCTGGTTTTACTTTCTTTTTGGTTATTCAAGACAGGATTTCTCTATGAAACAGTCCCAGTTCTCCTGGAACTCAATATTATGTGTACCAACCAGGCTGGCCTTGAACTCAGAAATCTGCCTGCCTCTGCCTTCCAGGTACTAGGATTAAAGATGTGTGCCAACATGCCCAGGAGTTGGTTTTACTCTTTGTTTGTTTGTTTGTTTATTGACTTATGGTTTTATCCAGGCAGGGATGCTCCGTAGCTTTGGAAGCTCTCCTGGAACTGGCTCAGTAGACCAGGTTGGCCTTGAACTCACAGAGAGCCACCTGTCTCAGCCTCCCTAGTGCTGGCATTAAAGAATCTCACCACTGGCTTTACTTTCTAAAACAAGATGCTTTACCGGCATAGTGGTTCACATTTTTAATCCCAGTACTTGGAAGGAAGAAGCAGACTGAGTTTGAAGCTGTCTTGGTCTACATAGTGAGTTTCAGGACAGCCAGGGAGGGATACAAAGAGAGCTCCTCTGTCAGACAACAGCAACAATAACAAAAATATGGACTATTGCCAAGGCTAGCATAGAAACTCCATCCATATCTAGCTGACCTCAAACAGTGACCCCTCTGTCCCTGCTTCCTAAGGGCTGGTTGGGACAGGCACTGTGGCCTCTTTATCCAGTGCTGGGGATAAAATACACCATCCTGGTGCATGCTAGTCCAGAACTCCAAAAGATGGCCTGCATTGACAGCATCTAGCTTCAAGGTTTTCTTTCTTTTATTAATTTACAGTGAAAATGAGAGGATAGTAAAGGGAAATCAGAAATTCTAGAGAGTGAGAAGATTTTAAGGGGAGAAGAAACACGTTAAAATTATTTAATCTCAATCTGTTTGTGGGGACGTCCTGGTGGGACTAGGACTTATTCCAGGTGCATGAACTGGCTTTTAGGAGCCCATTATGTGTGTGTTGGGGGGGGGTGTCTCACCCAACCTCGACCATTAAGGAAGATGCAACTCAGGGGAGATCTTCCTTTAATCAGGATCCTTGAATGAGCTTCTTCTGACCAAGGGGAAGGCCGGCACTGATTTAAATCCCCTTGCTCTGACCAACCCTAGTGAGCCACATGGACCCTGCAGATAGGCTTCTCTTATATGGAAGCAAGCAAGCTGAACAGGCTTAGCCAAATAAGGACTTGTTTATTACAGAGAGCGCTCACCATCAGGAAGGTGGCAGGAGGAAGCCAGCACCATCTTTAAGGTGTGGCACTTTGCAGCTCTCTACAGCAGGGGTAGGAGGTTACCTTGCCTAATCTGATTCAGGGGGAATAGACTTGGTTCAGACTCAACTTGGTTTCCCAGACTTTGACTGCTCAAGGGAGGCCTTATCCCCTCTGTGGAGTGGATTGGGATTAGGATGGGTGAGGAGGGGATTAGAAGAAGGGGAGAGAGGAGGAACCATAAGGATTTGGGGCAGATTGTATGGGACAGGTATTCTGACACTTGGGATTCACAGAATACTGCCAGGATAGGAAGGTATCCTGGAGCTTGGCAAGCCAAGGAATACCTCAGTCACAGTAAGCATAGCAGTTTACAGCCCTGCTTCAGGGAAAGGATTCCCCCGTGTATCAGCTCTGCTCTGGCAAGAGAGGGTTTCCCTGGTCTATCAGTTCTGCTCGGGTCCCACGGCTTCCCAGTGGACTCCCCTGGAGACTGGAGAGCTAGCTGAGTGTAGCAACTCCATTCTGCCAGGGGAAGATTTCCCCAGCGAAAGTGTGGCAGCCCTGCTCCTCTCCACTCATTCAAGAGATTTATTGGGAGGGAAGAATCCAGGAGAGTGGCCTCTGCCAGGATGGAAGGAGGCAGCTGGACAGCCACAAGCTGTAGAGGAATTCTTAGGGGGCAGGGTTTTCCCAGGCAGATTTCCGGGATGGGAATTGGTCAGATTTCTATATCCTGGACTTTAAGATAGCTAGATCTACTGTTCAGGGATTGGTTGGTTTTCTGCACAGGTTTAGGGTCAGATTTGGCTCTGGTTTCAGGGCTAAAGTATGTTTCTTTCACTGGTCCTTTTCAGCCTTTTGGTTCTAACTTTAGGACCAGGGTGTGTTTCTTTCACTGGCTCTGACTCAAGGGACAAAGTGTGTTTCTTTGGCATTGGTTTCAGGATCAGGGTGCATTTCTTTGGTTCTGGCTGCAGGAACAAAGTATGTTTCTTTGGCTGACCCCTTTTCCCTGCAGAAACTGGGATTGGAAATTAAAATGAAAAAAAAAATTTAAAAAGTTACTCAGTTTTCCTTTGTTGCTGTTGACAGAAAAGCTATTGAATTGGATTAAGTTTGGTGTTTGTTTAATATGAAGTTTTGGGTAGCCTGGAACTTAAGACTAAAATTACAGAAATCCTCCTGACTCTGCCTCCTGAACAGGAGTGTCTGTGTGGATTGTTTTTTTGTGTGTGTGTGTGTGTGTGTGTGTGTGTGCGTGCGTGCGTGCGTGCGTGTGTGTGTGTGTGTGTGTGTGTGTGTGTGTGTGATCTGTGTTCAGGTCTTCTCCAGTACCCCAGCTGGCCTGGAACTATTGTCTACTAACTCTTCATACACCACACTCTGGTATGAGAAGCCAGAGGCACCATGTCTGATAGGATTTTTTTTCTTGTGATCTTTAAGAGATAGATACTTCCTGGATATTGATTTGTGTTTATAAGAATTGACATTTCCTTGGATGTCTTTCTTGGAAGTTTCCAGGACCCAACAAGATGAGCATCCGGACCCCACCCACACTGGAGAAGCTGGCAAGGAATGTGCTGCTGAGAGATGAGGCCTTGGCCATCTCTGCTCTGGAAGACCTGCCCAAGATGCTCTTCCTACCACTGTTCCAGGAGGCCTTCATTTGCAGACTCCCTAACATTGTGAGGGTAATGGTGGCAGCCTGGCCTTTACCCTACATCCCTGTGGGGACCTTGATGACCTCCGGCAACCTGGAGTTTTCTCAGGCTGTGGTGGAAGGACTGAGGGACCTGCTGAGACAGCAGGATCACTCCATGTAAGTACGACCTGTGTAGGGTAACATGGAGGAACCTGGGGTACAGAGAAGACAAATTCAGAGTTGAGATAATGGGGTCAGAGGGAAATCAGAGGCCTTGGTAGCATCAGCCTGGAAGACTGCAGAAGCCTTGCCTGCTGGTGAGCTCTGATGGGGAAGGACAGTTGCGTGTGGGGGGAGGAATAGAGAAGATGTGGGCACAGGGGGAGGAGCCTGTCCCTGTCTCTCCCACAGGCACTAGTAGTACCAGGTCAAGAGTAACTGATTGCAGGGAAGCAAGGCAGAGGGCTAGTGATGCAGCTCAGAGAGAGCCATTGCCAGGGACCATGAGGTTGTTGGACACTCAGTGCTGGGAAAAAACAAACAAGCTTTGCAGAAATCCTCATGGGAGAAAGGCAGAGCTGACATGAGAGGTGTGTGGAAAGGACCTGAATGTCTGTGGGGTCTCCTCTCTCAGTGACCCTTCACCTGTCTAACTCACAGGAGGGGGAATCTTCGAATACTGGATTTTCGGAGGGTGCACCGTGACATCTGGACCATAGAGGCTGGGACAGAAGATGGGGACTGCTCAGCTGAGACTGTGAGTGAGAAGCAAGCAGTGAAGCCCCCTCCCAGATACGAGCAGAGGCAGCATCTGAAGGTGATAACTGACCTCTACTCCAGGTTCACACAGGAGGAAGAAGAAACAGATTTCTTGCCTGGGGCTCAGCATAGAAAAGACTCCCTACAGCTGTGCTGTGTGAACATGAAGATTGTGTTATTGTCTGATGATCATGTCAGTATGTTCCGGAAAATTATCGGGCTGTGGAATATTGAGGTGTTAGAATTCACCATAGATTGGAGTTGGAGTTCTCTGTTACGATTTTATCCCTACTTCGCGCATATGAGAAATCTTCACACACTTTCTCTGGTCTGGATCAACAAGAACACATTTGAGCATGCCTATACATCAGACTACAAGTGGTTTGTTCGCACTTTCATATCTGAGCTCTCCGGTATCAGCAGCCTCCAGCATCTCTATATGGATGGGATCTGTTTTCTCAGTGACAACATGAAACACTTGCTCAGGTAAGGATGGATAGAGAGCTGTTTCTGTTACCAGAGCAAAACTTTGAATTTTATGTTAAAGAGTTATGGGCCTGGTATCTTCCAGTCCTTGGAGAATGAATTGTGAAGGAGCCATTAGGATATCTAAGCATGGTCTTGTTTCTGTGTAAGCTGAACCCATGTGTTCCATGACCACACATGAAGCAGAGACCTCAATTGGGGTAGACAATGTGTGCATAGTGCGTCACAAATGACTTGGATTGCTCAGATTTAGTGAGAATACTGTACACGTTCTCCCTTAGATCCTGGCTAAGCTAACAGGAAGGGAACAGAGAAAGGAGGGAACCCAAAGAGTGGAGGATCAGAAAGCCCGCATAGCTCCCAGGGGGTCTGTGCTCAATTTGTGTGAACAGCCACCAAGATTTCCCATGCAGGAATTGCTTGGAACAATAGGGGCTGAGAGGATGGGAAATGGCCCATAGGGGTTTGAGGGTCAATATGGGGTGGAGACTGGGAATCCCCACAGAGGAGGTGACAGGGAGCAGAGGGCAGTGACAACTGCCTGAAGTACTGTCAGGTCGTCCATGGGTGGATCCTTCCCTTATGTGCACTAGGGTATAACAGCTGCACAGGAATTCTGTGTCAGTGAGGAGAAGGTGCTACAGAGCTGTGCACTGAGCCATCCCACAGTGGTCCAACTGACACTGGGACACATGTCCCCTTCTACTGTTGTGTAATCCCACCACACACCCTCTCCAGCATCATCTGTCAGAACTAACCCTTTGGTCTCTGCCTAGGAACCTGAAGAATCGCCTGGAAACCTTCTCTGTCACTCACTGCCAGCTGTTTCGGTCAGACTTGTATCATTTGTCCCAGTGTCGGCGTCTCTGTCAACTAAAACATCTGGACATGAGTGGAGTCCTACTGTCCAATTTCTGTCTGATGCCTCTCAGGGTTCTCCTGCAGAAAGTGGCAGACTCCCTTGAGACTCTGGAATTGGAGGGGTGTGGGATAAAGGACTCTCAGCTCAGTGTCCTCCTCCCTGCCCTCAGCCAATTCCCCAAGCTCACAAAGGTCAATTTCTATACCAATGACTTCTACATGAATGTCTTGAGTGGCCTTCTCCACCACACAGCCAACTTGAGCAACATGGCCATGGAGCAGTACCCTGCCCCTCAGGAGTGCTATGAGCTGGGTCTGGTCTCCATAGAGAGATTTGAACAATTTTGCCCTGTGCTCATGGATACCCTCAAGGCCATAAGGCAGCCCAAGAGCATCTCCTTTGCTACAGATGTCTGCAGTAGATGTTCTAAGCGCTGTGTGTATGAGCAGGAGACCAGGCTTTGTTCTTGCTTGCAGTAAATAGGGGAGTGCTACTTTTGGTCCTTCTTTTTCAGGGTGGTTACATAGAGGGCTTTGTGTAGGGGTCTTAAAGTGAGCAGTACAGACACACCTCTGAAGGAGGTTGGGATTGTAGGGGTTTTAATCTAGGATACTCAGTGTATTAGGGGACTCTGTGTGCAGATCAAAGATGACAGTAGGAAAAGGCAATGCAGAGAGAATGGGACGTGTTTCAACCCGAGCTATGCTCTTTGCTTTGCCACTTAAAGAATATTTGACTGTAACCTGCCAGCCTTGATCTCGTATAAAACTTACTTTTCGTTGCTTTAGTTATGTTTATGTGATGAGGAGGTGCATGTCCCCTAGTGCAAGTACCAGAGGCATAGGATTCCTAAATTAGTTGCCTGACTTGTTTGCTGGAAGCCAAACTAGGCTGCTCTGGAAGAGAAGCAAGGGCTCTACAGTCCTGAGGCATCTCTGTCTCCAGCTCCTGGCCTTGAACTCTTAATCCTCTTGTTCTGCCTCCACCTCCTAATTGCTGAGATCAAGGCTATCACCACCACATCCAGCCTCCATTCTTCGTGGATCCTACTATATAAGTATGGTCAGTACTATATAAGTCTCCTGTACTGTTCAAAATTCCTCTACTCTTTGAAGCCCTTCTTTTACCAGATATAACTATATTTCCACTATTCAATTGTAATTCCCCATCTTTATCTTTTTTTCATCTAGCCCTTAATTTTTCTCATATTTGTGGATCTAATCTGATAGCTGGAAAGTAATTTTGGATGACACTCTTTTATTTCATTTTTGTGTTTATTAAAATGTAGATCCTTTGCTTCAATACAAGTAACTCTTTTTGGCTGATGTCCATACAAGAATTAATTGTAAGGGTTTTATCAAGTACACTCTGGAAAGAGAAAGAAAAACATGAAAAAATGTGATTGCTGTGACAGTACCATTTGGGACATAATAGGGTCTATCATAATTCACTTAAAATCATACTCAAGCTGAGTATAATAAGTTGCACACTGATCAGAATACATTATCATGTGCAAATAATTTTATATTTTACCTACAGTCACTACTCACAGACCAACACAGGGTTCCTCTGGTTTTAGAGGCTGTCCTGGAACTAGCTCTTGTAGACTAGGCAGGTCTTGACCTCACAGGATCTGCCTACCTCTGCATCCTGTGGGTGACATCAATGCCCAGCAGATCAACACAGTCTTGGGAAGGAGAATACAATACTGAGGATTCCACCTTGTGGCATCCAGAAATAAGAAAGTCAAATAGCCATCTCTATATCTTGGCAAGACTTCCCATGGAGGGATCAGAACTCAAACCCAGCCACATAACTTTCTACATACAATTTGTCCTGCCTGTAAGATGTGCTGGAGTATAGGAGAGACACAGAGCTTGTGGGAGTGGCCAACCAATGGCTGGTCCAGCTAGAGACCCTGGTTGTAAGAGTGAGCCCACCCTTAATACTGCCAGGTGGGTCAGGACCAAGAGGCTGGACAGCCCAGAGACTTAGCTTCTGCAGAGACTGGAGGACTCTGTAAGCAGGTGTTTCATGTCTGGCTCTCACATGGACTCTAAGTCTTCATATGTATCAGAGTTTATAATGTCTGAGTAACATGCAGAAGGGCTAGAGATGAATGAAGTTCTACATAGAGGGGATCGCATCCTCCTGTCTCTCTGGTTCATCTCCTCTAGTTACAGTCTCTATATGGGGCCCACAGTCTTGTGCATTGTAGACAAATGTTCTACCAATGAACTCTCTCCTGAGCCAAGGGGGTGTGTCCTTAGCTGGACTTATGACCAAAGCAGGACAGCATAAAATATTTGGGATTTGATAGGGAAGGTTTGAACTATTCTTGTTCAGACACTTAGAAATTAAAGATGTCAAGCCAGTTGTGTGGGAATAGGCCCTTAATCCCAGCACTTGAGAGGCAAGGTCAGGAGGATCTCTGGGTGCTCAAGGCCATCCTGATCTACATCTTGAGTTCCAGGACAGTCAGAGCCATGTAAGGTCATGTCCTCACTTCAGAGGCTTAGGAAAAAGGATTGAGAGTGTGAAATCAGCCTGGACTATGCAGTGAAACTGTATCGGGAATACGATGACCTACCTTTCTTTCTTTCTTCCTTTCAATTTGTTTTTTTTGAAATAGGGTTTATCTGTGCAGCATTGGTTATCCTGGAACTCACTCTGCAGGCCAGGCTGGCCTTGAACTCAGAGATCTGCCTGCCTCTGCGGTCCAAGTTCTGGGATTAAAGGCCTGTGCCAACAGCTGAGCTATAATGGCTAATCTAGTTGCCAAGACCTCTCTGTATCTGGAATGAACTAAAACACATGGGAGGACTTTTTTTTTTTTAAATACAGTCATCAGGAGTGGGAAGAGGAGGAAAACCACAGGATAATATCTCTTTACATTGTCCATAATTTCCAAATGAAAATAAGATCTAGGACGTAATTATGCCTTACACGGTACAGCTATCTCATGTACAAAAGCATTATATATTTAACCAGGACATAATACCATTTAAACTGATATAATTTCCCTTGTATAGCCACAAATGCATTTCACTAAAAGACAGCCAAAAATGAATTATAAATAAAAGAGCCATATGACCAGCCCAGTACCTATGGCAATGAAGAGAAGCCAGGGTGCTACCCGGTGGCAGAATCCAGAAAGGAAAAAAAACAAAAACAAAAAACAAACAAACAAAAACCCAGCAGACACCAGAGAGCAAAAGTAGCATGTACTAGAGAGTGCCACCTTGTGGCGGAATCCTACTCAGAGTCAGCTCAGCTTTTGGGGAAAGAAGACAAAACAAAAACACCAGTGACAAAATCAAGAATCTAAGCAACCACAACTCCCTCTGTCAAACTTGTCTGCCATGCATTTGATCATTCATACAGTTGGCCAGGCATTCATTCAAGCAAAATCCAAACCAGAATGCAGGGGGCCCTTGTGCAGGTAGACAGGAAGAGATTCTTGGGAGAAATTTTCTTCTCACACCAGGAGGAGGGATACCAAAAGGACCGTATCTCCCTAACCTGGAGGAAGGCTAGAGCCCCTAACCTGAAGGGGACCCACCAGTGCCTATTGATGTAATCTGAAGGCTGTCTTCCTCAGCCAGAATCATACCTGGATTCAGTGTACAGGCTCACATCTAAGTCTCATTAGGACTTTGTTTCCATGTTTAGGACCCCCCTGCACCAACGAGAGGATCAGGAGTCGTGGAACGTTTGTCTGGAGGAGCCCCCCCCCCTGCCACTACTTCCTGGCCTCTGGCCTGGCAGCAAGGCTGAGTCATGGCAAGCGTGGAGACCTCAGTGGGACCTCCAATGCCATGATGCACTGGAGATAGTTACTGACAACCAGACTGATTAAACCCATGAAAACTTTGAGGTCCATTTTATTGACGGCCAGACCAAGAGTGGCTTGAGTATTTGAAGAGCCTCATGGTGCCCTAGTTCATAGACAAAGCATTTGTAAAGGCAAAACCACAAAGGTACACCAAAGAATTGATGGTCAGAGTAACCTTAAATACCCATTCCTGGCAGGGCTAAGTACTTATATTAGCCATAGCGTGTCGATTGTTTTGGTTAATGCATTGGGAGGATGGTCAAGACCATGGAAATATCTTATGTGTTGCCAAGGCAAGTGGTAGTGTTGTGTGGAATGGTATAGAGGGCCAAAACCCATTAAAACAAACACAAACTGGAGTCAGAACAGGACAGCACTACCTTAGTCATTTCACTCTGACCAGAACCTGGGCCTTCTCTGTCATTTCACAGTGTCCAAAGGAGAGTCTTTACTATTTAGAACCTACTAGGCAGGGGTCCACCAATCACATAGACTGGGATGATTGTGGACACATCATTTGCACCATCGAAGACATTGGTCAGTACCAAAGGGGATAATTCTCACCTCCTCAGTAGCCTTCAGTGTATCATAATACTAGGGAGTTCTCCCACCAAAGGAATACATTAATTGTTATAGCCCCTTCCCTCTGAAGGACAGGGTTCAACTGCAGGATTAAATATCTCACCCTGGCAGTGTGGAGTAGCTGGACCACAAGACAGATTTGTAGGTTTGGTTCCCATGGGAATTGAATATAGTGAACTGAGATCAGCATCTCAGGACAGGTAGGGATGACAATGAGTTGAATATGCCCTTAGTGACAGTTTTCCTAGACCAGGGTCTTCGGTGGTGGTCCAACATTGGCTGGCAGAATTGGGCGGGGTGCAGGACTTTAGTCTGTCAGTCTCACCCATCTCAAATCCTGGAGTTTTAGCTGACTGGTGCATGGGAACTCATGTAGATGGCTCCACTGTGTTCCTAGGGGTTAATTGAGTCACTGACAGGGTGGGGTTATTCAGGTACCTAACAAGAAAACAAGCTTAAAGTTCTTTGAATAGATGGTGTGTGTCAGAGTATGGCTGGGGATGAGGTTAAGAGTGTACAGTGTTGTCCAGCATCCTTGCAATCATGTCATGATAACTTTTCCTTGTTTATCCCCATGATCTCACGTCAGTTTTACATAATAGCATCACAATATGTAGCATCACAACTTTAAAAATTCCCCAGTCTTTACAATTCAAACAATTTCAAAGTTCCATTTAAAAATTTTTATTTTATTTTATTTATCTATTTATTTATTTGTTTGTTTTACAACTTTTGGCCCATCACTGAGAAGGTAAGATGAAATAGAGATTCCAGAATAAAAGTGCTGAGGGACTCTGGCTCTAAATCAAGAGAAAGTTTCTTGATCATGGAGCTGGGTTGACAACCAATTGTCCTCTGTTGTCTTTATCTCCAGAGAGGTAAAATAAGTTGGCTGTATGTGTTATACCCTGTTTAATGGGGTACACAGATCTAATTAATATGTACGTAAGCACAGTATCAAGTGAGGTGTACCTAAACTTAAAGTTGATATAGAATGGGTAATGTCTATGCAAAATAGACACCCAATTCCTTGTGATTATGTATCCACAAGTGACTTTTTATAAA